TGCCCAGCTTTAAATTTCTTATTTTTTTTATGGGGATCAAACCCAGGGTCTCATACATGCTAAACAAGTTCTCTACCACTAAGCTATATTCCCAGCCCAGTTTTTAATTTTTTTGAAAAATTATTTGTGTGTGTGTGTGTGTGTGTGTGTACAAAGTGTGGATGTATAGATCAGAGGTTTTCTCCTACCTTTACATGGGTTCTTAGGATCAAACTCAGATTTCCAAGCTTGTGTAGCAAGTGACTTTACCCTCTGAGCCATCTTGCTGGCCCAGTCTTTTAATATTTTTTTGTTTATTTTTTGCTTTATTTTTATTTTATATGTGTTTATTGTGTGCATGTATACAACTGTACCCATGTCATGCAATGCCCTCAGAGGAAAGAAAAGGGCATCAGATCCCCTGGAACTGGAGTTAGAACGGTTATTAGCTGCCATGTGGGTGCTGGTATTCCAACTTGGGTCCTCTGCAAGAACAGCCAGTGATCTTAACCACCGAGCCATCTCTCTAGCCCTATCTTTTAAATTAAAAAAAAAAAAAAAAAAAAAAAAGCTAAAAAGAAAGAAAAGAAAAAAGCCTTAATTGATCAAATTCATTTAAAAAAAAATGAAGTTTACTCCCTTGAATAAGTTTGTGTACTATCCTGCAAATTTATGCCTATATTGCCATTTTTGGAAAAGATTTTTATAAAGTAGCTTGATTATCTCTTTCCTTGTGAAACATTCTGATCCTTTTGAGAGGTATAATCACTCAAAAAAAAAAAAAAAAAATCACCAAGTAGTTCTTTCTGTGTTGGGGGTCAATACAGGACCGAAGCCTCACGAGTCGGAATCTGATGATCTGGAGGAGGAAGACTTCGAATGTTTAGATAGTGATGATGACTTAGACCTTGAAACACAGGAACCAGGTTCTCTAAAAGGAACTCTTGATAATCTCAAGTCATACATGGCCCAGATGGACCAGGAACTGGCACACACCAGCATTGGCAAAAGTTTTACCACCCGAAAGCAAGTGGTAAGTATGTGTTTAACCTCTTTCCCTTTCTAAATCTATTATGTATGAAAGTCAAAATCATATTTCATCTGAGTTTTTCCTTTCTTTTGTGAGATTTGAAATAAATGAGAGTGCTAATTTTGTTTATTTATTTATTGGGGCTAGGAGTTGAACCCAGGGTCTTGCACATGCTAAGCACACAGTCTCTCACTAAGCTATACTCAGCCTCAAGAATGCTAGTGCTTTTTCCTAACACTGGTAGGATGAAAGATTACAAGGGCCAGGCACAGTGGCATATACCTATAATTCCTAGCTACTGAAGAGACTGAGGCTGGGGGAAACCGATTATAAACTTTATTTTCTAAATAGAAACTTACTTATATTATTTCTTCCTTTTCCTTCCCCCTTCTCTCTTTCCTTCTTCTTCCTTTTCTTTAGCTTTGGTGTGTTGCCAAACTGATCTTAAATTCCTCCCACCTCAGCCTCAGCCTCTTGAATAGCTGAGACTGCGGGATGTGCCACTGTGCCTATAATTAAAGTTTGTTTTTTGTTAATGTGCGTATTCTTTTTTTTTTTGGTCTTTTTGAGACAGAGTCTCCCTGTAGCCCCAGCTGTCCTGAAACTCACTATGTAGACCGGCTGGCCTTGAACTCACAGAGATCTGCCTGCCTCTGTCTCCCAAGTGCTAGTATTAGAGGCTTGCGCCACCACGCCTGGCCCGTGAGTATTCTTTTTTAAAAAAGGATTTTTATTGATTTTCTGCAAATTTTATACAATATACTTTGATTATCTTTAGATTCTCTTCCCATATACTCTGCATATATATTAAGGCCTATCAAGTAAAATTTGTGTCCCCAAATGCCCTTCAGTGGGGGACCATCCACTGGAGCCTTGTTACCCTATCTAGTGTCATACCCTTAAAGAAAGCTGACTCAAGCCAGGCATGGTGGTACATGCCTGTAGTTCCAGCACTTGGGAGGCAGAGGCAGGCAGATCTCTGTGAGTTCAAGGCCAGCCTGGTCTACATAGTGAGTTCCAGGACAGCTGGGGCTACAGGGAGACCCTGCTTCAAAAAGACAAAAATTAAAAAAAAAAAAGCCGACTCTCCTCCCAGCAGTTGTTTGTTGCTAGTAGTTGGTCAGCTAAGGTTGGAGTTTCTTACCCACTCTCCACTTCTGTGCTGAGATTTTGTCTGGCTTGAGCTTTTATAGGTTTTGTGCATGCTGTCACCATTGCTGTGAGTTCATATGAGTAACTTCCCAGCTGTCTGAAAAATTCTGTTTCCTTGTGGACATCTACCACCTCTGGCTCTACAGTCTTCCCACCCCCTCTTCCACTATGATCCCTGAGCTTTGGGTGGCAGAGGTTAGACATAGGTGTCCTATTCAGGGATAAATACTCTGAAGTCTCTAATTCTCTGCGCTTTGGCCAGCTGTGGCTCTCTGAGTTAATCACAATCTGCTGCATGAGAATGCTTCTTTGGTAAGAGCTGCGAGATGTGTTAATATTCTTTCTGCACCCTGTTGCTATGTTTCCTGAGCCTTAGGTACAGAGGTTGCATTGTAGATAGGTCACTTGGGGCTGGGCACTTCACAGATACTTATTCTCTGTTTAACCAGTTGCTAAGCTTCATAGTAATTTCCATCTGCTACAAAAGAAGCTTCTTTGATGAGTGGTGAGAGGTGCACTTGTCAGCCTCCTTGGTAGCTCTGTAGCCAACTATGTTCTTTTTCTTTTCTTTTCTTTTATTTTTTTAATTTTATTTTGCGTGTATGCATGTATTGCCTACATGTAGGTAAGTGTACCCATGTCATGCAATGCCTGCAGAGGTCAGAAGAGGCTGTCGGATCCCCTGGGACTGGAGTTATGGACAGTTGTTAGCTGCCATGTGGGTGCTGGGATTCGAACCCAGGTCTTCTGCAAGAACAACCAGTGTTCTTAACCTCTGAACCATCTCTCCAGCCCCCTGTGTTCTTTTTTAAAAAAAACAAAAACAGCCGGGCGTGGTGGCGCATGCCTGTAGTCCCAGCACTTGGGAGGCAGAGGCAGGTGGATCTCTGTGAGTTCAAGGCCAGCCTGGTCTACATAGTTCCAGGACAGCTGGGACTACAGGGAGACCCTGTCTCAAAAAGGCAATAAAAACAAAAACAAAAACAAAAACAAAAAACATTTAGTTAACTGGGCTTGGTGGCACACATCTTTAATCCCAGCACATGGGAGGCAGAGACAGGCAGATCGCTCTGAGTTCCAGGCCAACCCTGTCTCAAAAAAAAAAAAAAAAAAAAAAAGACAAACTCCAAAAATCAAAGAAAGCATTTGGTTCTTTTCTTGAGATTTATTTTATTTATTTATGTATATATGTCTGTGTGAGCGTATGTGTGTGTGCAGGTATGCACAACTGTGGGGGTGCAGCATCAGAAGAGGGCATTGGGTCTCTGAGCTGGAGTAACAAGTGTTTGTGGGCTTGTTACTTGGGTGCTGGATCTGACTCTGGGTCCTCCTGATTGTATAGCAAGTGCTCTTTACTGGTGAACCATCTTTACAAGCCCTATAATTATATTCTTTATTCTATGATCTTTCAGGATTTCAAGTGAAGAATCATAATATAGGGACTGGAGAAATGGCTCAGTGGTTAAGAGCACTTGCTGCTCTTTCAGAGGACCCAGGTTCAATCCCCAGCACCCAAATGGCAGCTTACAACTGTCCATAACTCCAGTTCCAGGGGATCCCTCTTCTGGCTTCCATGGACATTGCATACATGGGTGTACTTACATGCAGGCAAAACACTCATACACATAGTATAAACTGGGCATTGTGGCACATGCCTTTAATCCCAGCACTTGGGAGGCAGAGGCAGGCGGATCTCTGTGAGTTCAAGGCCAGCCTGGTCTACATAGTGAGTTCCAGGACAGCTGGGGCTACAGGGAGACCCTGTCTCAAAAAGACCAAAAAAAAAAAAAAAAATCATAGTATATGCAAATTAGTGTGTCAATATACACTACAACTATTCTATTATAAACAGGTTTTTTTTTTCTTTTGTGTGTGTGTGTGTGTGTATGTGTGTAGGGGTAGAAACACAGCCTTACTTAATAGCTCAATCTAGACTTGAAAGTGTGCTGGGATTATAGGCATAAGCTACCATCCCCAGCAATAAGTGAATTGGTTTGGTTTGAGATAAAGTCTCCTTCCAGTCTGGAACTTGCTATGTAAACCAGGTTGGCCTTATCTCACAGAGATCTACCTGCCTCTTCCTCCTGACTGCTGAGATTAAAGGTGTATACTATTACACCTGGAAAAGTGGATTTCTTTTTTTTTTTTAAGAGAGAAGAGGGGCTGACGAGATGGCTCAGTGCGTGAGGGCACTTGCTGCCAAGCCTAAGAACCTGAGTTCCATCTCTGGAACTCACCATGGCATAAGGAAAGAACTACCTCCTGCAAATTGTCTTCTGACCTCCACATGTCACTGTGCACACACATAAGCAAAATAAATTAAAAAAAATTTTTTTTTTGGTCTTTTTGAGACAGGGTCTTCCTGTAGCCCCAGTTGTCCTGGAACTCACTAGGTAGACCAGGCTGGCCTTGAACTCACAGAGATCCACCTGCCTCAGCCTCCCAAATGCTGGAATTAAAGGCATGCACCACCATGCCTGGCAATAAAAATTTTTTTAAAAAGAAAAGGATCTTAAATACTCAAATCAAATCGTAATTGTTTTCTGTTCCTTTAATTTAGAGCTGAATTTAGAATTCATCTCCCATTCACATATTTGTCCTGGTGCTTAGGCTAGCACTGCCTAGCCCACCAGAGGCATTATGGGAAGAGCACAGACCCTAGAGTATCATGGACCAGAGTTTGAAGTGTAGCTCCACCATCCATGTGAATGTATCCATTAACTAGTAATCCACATATCATAGAGTGAGCATTAGTACAAGAAGACACAGCAGTCAAGTCCATGATAGCCACTGGTTCATACTAACTACGTTTACTTTGATCTCTAGACAACATCTAAAACTGTCCTTTTCAGTATCATTGAAACCTAATAGAAACCATATGTTAAATTTCATTGTGAATATAAACCACCCAAGGATCTTTTTTAAATAGAGGTTTTTGTTTTTATTAAGCAAAATGGTTGAGGCCTAGAATTTTGTTTCTTTTTTTTTTTTTTTGAGACAGGGTCTCCCTGCAGCCCCTGCTGGCCTAGAACTCACTCTGTAGATCAGACTGGCTTCAATTTCACAGAGGTTCACCTGCATCTGCCTCTGGAGTGCGGGGATCAAAGGCGCCAGCCACCACATCCAACTCTTTTTTGTTTTGTTTTGTTTTGTTTTGTTTTGCTTTGCTTTGCTTAATCTAGAGGTTTGATTAGGCAGTATTTCTGTTGTTAGGGAACGTGTCCTACCATGCCTGGCTCTTCCTTAATTCTGCTTCATCTCATTTGGGCTATTTCAAAGTAGGGACAAAAATATTCAATCTGTAGAAACTTTTTAAAGAAAGAAGTATCTCAATCTTTAGAACCAAATTTCTTTTTTGTTTTAAAATTTATTTTTTTAATTTATGTGTATATGACTACACACATGCTTACAGGTGCCTGGAGAGGTCAGAAGAGGGTATGGAATCCCCTAGAGCTGGCATCAAAGGCAGTTATGAGCCACCCAATGTGGGTGTTGAGAACTGAACTTAGGTCCTTTCCAAGAGCAGCAAGTGTTCCTAACCACTGAATTAAGTCATGTAGTTTATTAGAGCTCCCTTTTTTTTGGGGGGGGGGTCTTTCTGAAACAGGGTATCCCATTAGCCCCAGCTGTCCTGGAACTCACTATGTAGACCAGGCTGGCCTTGAATTCACTGAGATCTGCCTGCCTCTGCCTCCCAAGTGCTGGGACTAAAGGTGTGCGCCACCACGCCTGGCTTAGAGCTCACTTTTTTTCTTTTCTTTTTTGAGACAGCACTATGTAACTTCTGGCTGGCTTGGACTCACAATGTAGACCAGGCTGGCCTTGAACTCATGGAGATCTGCCTTCCTCTGCCACCCAAGTGCCTCTGCACACAAGGTGTGTGCCACCATACTTGGCTTCATTTTTACTTTATGTTGCCAAGGATTAAAAATTTCATTTAAATTTGGAATTCAAATGTATATTATTGCTTAGTTATTGCTTTATACTGTAGCCATCATCTAATGTAAGGGGATATTATCTCATGATTTTCTTTTCCCTTCAGAGTAAGGAAACGCCTTCTCAGACTGCAAATAACAATTCAGATGAAGATTCTGGCGCAGACGACTGTGCTGTGACACCAGTGGATGTAGACCTGAACCTGGTTTCAAATATACTGGAATCCTACAGCTCCCAAGCTGGACTGGCAGGACCCGCTTCCAACCTTTTACAGAGCATGGGAGTGCAGCTGCCTGACAACACTGATGACAGACCCCCAAGTAAGCCAGTGGAGGATTAGCCAGCCTGTCCACTGTGCTGTCACTGTAAATAAAGAGAGTCCAAGTTTGGTCATTTCTAGTTGATTCATTTTGGAAAAATGTTTCTTCCTTACAAGTTTCAGATGTGTCTTCTAAACCCCAAATATTGTCCTCTTTACAAGCCTTGTGATCTAAACTCAGGTACATAAGGTTGTTTGGTTTATTTTCTTTCTTTTTTTTTGGTCGTTTTGAGACAGGGTCTCCCTATAGCCCCAGCTGTCCTGGAACTCACTAGGTAGACCAGGCTGGCCTTGAACTCACAAAGATCCGCCTGCCTCTGCCTCCTGAGTGCTGGGATTAAAGGTGTGTGCCACCATGCCCAGCCCAAAGTATTTATTTAATTTCTCCTTTAGGAATATTCTTCCTCAGGTCAAAATTCTAAGTTGACAAAATTCCAACTCACACCTTTTATTTTTTTTTTAAGATAGGGTGTGTATAGCCTATCCAGGCTCACCTGAAACTCACTATTTAGACCTGACTGGCCTCAAACTCAACAGAGATCTACCTGCTTCTGCTTCCCAACTGTTAGGATTAAAGGTATGTACCACCACATGAGGCTCACATTCACTTTTTTAAAACATATTTTTATTATTTTTATTTTGTGTATGAGTTGCTGCTTGTGTGTATGTAAGTGCATTTGTGTCATGCAGTGCTCACAGAGGTCAGAAGAGGGTGTTGGAGCCCCTGGAACTGGAGTTATGGATGGTTGTTAGCCACCATGTGGGTGCTGGGATTTGAACCCAGGTCTTCTGCAAGAACAACCAGTGCTGTTAACCACTGAGACATCTCTTCAGCCTTGTATTCCTTTTTTTTTTTTTTGAGACAGGGTTGCCTTGTAGCCCCAGCTGTCCTGGAACTCACTATATAGACCAGGCTGGCCTGAACTCACAAAGATCTGCCTGCCTCTGCCTCCCAAATGCTGGGATTAAAGGCATGCACCACCATACCTGGCTGCATTCACTTTTTTAAAGAGGCATAAAATATCGAGTCAGGAAGTTTTTATACATGTACTTGTAAATCAAGATAAAGAACTTGTTTTTTTATTTTTATTTTTTATTTTATGTGTATGAGTGTATTGCCTGCATGTATGTGAGTGCACCTGTGTTGTGCAATGCTGCAGAGGTCAGAAGAGGACTTCAGATTCCCCTGGAACTGGAGTTAATAGCCATCATGTGGGTGCTGGGACGCTGAGCCATCTCTCCAGGCCCAAAACTTATTTTTTATTAAACTTTTAGCATGTAGAACATGCTTCTTAAGGCATTTTCATTTTCACACATGTTGTCTCTGTACTTTGCTTCTGTTCATCTCATTGCCTTGTTCCTCTCCCCACTCCTGAGATCTGCACATACATATACATAGATATTCTGCATGAGAGAAATGTATTTGTTTTTACCTCCATTGCCCTCTCTTCTTGCCCCCATCAATTCCCTTCTACTTTCATGTCATATGTATGTATGTATGTATGTGTGAATGAGCTTATTTCTTTCTAGTTCACTGAGACAAGGTCTTGTGCAGTCCAAGGTGGCCTTAAATTTGCCATGTAGCTGAAGATGTCCTTGAACTTGATCCTCCTAAGTGCTGGCCCCTAAGAGGGGCCATCACACCCCTCTTTTTATTCTTACTGTATCCGGTTAGTATTATCCTGTGAAGGAAAAGTGAAGAACAGGTGTCTTTCATAGCCATGACCAAACCCGCAGATTCTACAGTCCCTTATGCAAAATGGTGTAGTGTTTGCATTTGTCTCCCATTCTCCTCTTCAGTTAAATCATTTCTGATTACTTTTAATAACTAATGCAATTGTATATGTGATGTAAATAGTTGTTAAGCCATATTGTTTAGGGAATAATGACATGGAAAAATATGCTGTTGGGCTACAGAGATGACTTTGTTGGTAAAGTACTTGTCACAAAAGATTGAAGACCAGAGTTTGGATCCCCAACACCAACATTAAAAGCTAGATGTGATGGCATGCACCTGAAATCCCAGCACTAGGGTGGTGGAGGTAGAGGTGGAGAGCTATAGAGGGAAGGCACCTGATTGATTTCTGACTGCCACATGCACACACATTTGCACTTGTGAATGTATACACATACACACCACACACATAAAACCATACTGTCAATGTTTACAAATGTAATTTTTCCCCAAATGTTTTCACTTCATGATTGATGAATCCAAAAAGGTTGGAACCCATGGGTGCAGAGAGCCTGCTGAAAGTCCAAACTGCCCTCTCTAGCAGCCAAGAGAGCAAGCAGAAAAACAGTACTACAGAGTTCATATTTGAGAAACTACCAAAAACACCACACTCCTGTTCTCACAGCAGTGTGAGCTGAGGGCAGAGTGTTGCATACTGATTTCAGAAAAGCATCGGGGATAGTGAGGCAGCTTGGTGGTTAAGAGCACTGGCTGCTCTTTCAGAGAACTGGGGATTCAGTTCCTGGCACCCACATGGTGCTCACAACTCCCATAACACCAGTTCCAGGGGATCCAATGCCCTTTTCTGGCTTCTGAGGGCACAAGGCACACGTGATTTACATACATATATTCAGGCATCGCATATACATAAAATACCTACTTTTTTTAAAAGCAGAAAGCTGGGCAGAGAGAGCTTAGTAAAGTGCTTGCCACACCTACATTCAATCCCCCAGAATCCATGTAAAAAAGCTGAGCATGGTGGCTTGTGTATATAATCGTGGCACTGGGGAGGAAGAGGCAGGTGGATCCATGGAGCACACTGGTCAGCCAGCCTAGCCTAATCAATGAGGACTAGGCCAGTGAGATCCTAAAAATGGAGTCCTGAAAATGACACCTGGGGTGGCCTCTGGCCTCCACACACACATATGTACACATATGAACACACATCCATATATACACACATAAGCATTTGTGAAAAATATTTTTTTTATTTATTATTTTTATTTCATGTGTATGTGTGTATTGCCTGCATGTAGGTAAGTGCATCCATGTCGTGCAGTGCCGAGGAAGGACAGAAGAGGCTGTCAGATCCCCTGGAACTGGAGTTACAGACAGTTGTTAGCCGCCATGTGGGTGCTGGGATTCAAACTCGGGTCTTCTGCAAGAACAGCCAGTGTTCTTAACTGCAGCCATCTCTCCAGCCCCGTGAAAATGTTTTTATTGCAAGACATTTTAATATTTTAAATTATCTAAAAATGTTTCAAGTAAATACATTTTAAAATTTATATTTTATGTATATGAATTTTTTAACAACATGTATATAAGTGCACCTGTGTTGTGCACTGCCTACAGAGGCTAGAAGAGCACGCTGGATCCTCCAGAACTAGAGTTAAGGACAATTGTTAGCCAGTATGTGGGTGCTGGGACCCAAACCCAGGTCCTCTACAAGAGCAGCTAGTGCTCTTAAGTACTAAGCCATTTCTCCATCCCCATAGACAAATTTATTTATTTATTTTTTCTTTTGAGACAGGGTCTCCCTGTATCTCCAGCCGGCCTAGAACTCGCTATGTAGACTAGACTGGCCTTGAAGTCACAAAGATCCATCTGCCTTTGCTGGGATTAAAGGCGTGCACCATGTTAAGGTTCTGTCCCAGCTTGATTATTGTGGGGGTCTCTCCCTCTCTTCGCGGGTCGTTGGCAACCGGTCCACGAGGGCAGGGGGAGCAGATAGGCTTTGGTTGATCCTGTGGGAAAACACAAGCCAATCTCCTCCCTGTGGTCAGCAATGGATCTGGTCCTTTCCAGAGTCCATCAAAGGGGTCCCTCCATCTAACCATGATGGGTGGTACGGGGTATGTCTGGGCCCAGTGTCGGGTGATGGGGGGGCATCAGACCCTTGATATATATTAAGTACATTAAGGGTAAACAAGGCTAATGTTAATTGAATATTGGGAGAATATGTTGTTTGAGCCTGTCTTTTTAGTTGGTCTTTTAAGGTTTTATGTGACCTTTCCACAGTGGCTTGTCCTTGTGGATTGTACGGGATGCCAGTGTGATGGGTGATTTTCCAGGCTTCACAAAAATTTTTAAATGAGGAGCTGGTAAATGCTGGGCCATTGTCTGTCTTTAGTTGTGCAAGGAGGCCCATGATGGCAAAGGATGAAAGCATATGATTTATTAGCTTTTTTGAACCTTCACCAGTCTGGGTAGTAGCCCAGAGGAAGTGAGAGTAAGTGTCTATAGTTACAAATACATATTTCTGTCTGCCGAATTGGGGGACATGAGTTACATCAACTTGCCAGAGGGCATTAGATTTTAGTCCTCTAGGATCTGTGACACTGGCAGGGAAGGTTCCAGCGGTGGCTACTTTATCTGCTATGGCATTTCCTTCAGTAAGAGGTCCTGGGAGAGAGGAGTGGGACCTGATATGTTGGACAAATAAAGGAGCCACTCTTTTTTTGTAATACTGTGGAAATTTTAATTAGCAGAGGTGAGATGGGGTTACCATCTATTTTAATAAAGGAACGACCTAGCCATGGGAGTAAATTAGCAGCATAAATGCTGTCAGAATAAAGGTTGAAGGGTTTATCAATCTTATCAAGAGCCATATAGATGGCAAAGAGCTCTTTAAATTGTGGGGATTTATCAGATAGAGGTTGAAAATATATCATAGGTGGGTCATTAGGGGAGTCATGTATGACCAATGCTGCCCCCTTTTTTCCTCCATCTGTAAAGGCTGTAATAGTATTTTTAATGGGTTTGTGGCAGAAGAGCCGAGGTGGGAGCCAGCGAAATACTGGAATAACCAACATCCATTTATCTTTGGGATAGTGATTATCAATTTGTCCTGGGAAGCCTATTAAGCTAATTGAAAAAGAGGAGTGATGTTTTAGGAGCCATTGTACATCTGATAATGGGAAGGGGATAATAAGGGTATCAGGTTCTTTCCCTATAATTTGTAGGGTTCTCTCTCTTCCTTGACAAATCATAGATGCAAGAGTGTCTACTTCTGTAAGAAAGCAAGGAGCACCCCCTACTGGCATGTGAAGCCATCCTAGTACTCCGTGTAGCTAATGAATTGCTCTCACCATGGTGGGGGTGGAATTAAAAATTAAGAAT